GTTCCCGACTGAGGGTCTACGCTCGGCTCTTTTCTGTTTTATTTTACCCTTGTGGATCGTTGTGTATATAATAAACGTTAATTCTTTTGATTCGTGTGTTTTATTGCTAACATTTTCAGAAGTGGGATTGTGAACATCTAATACGTCTGACGAAGATCTCCGTGATCGATTCCGTATTTTATCGATTGTGCGTTAAGTAAGCCCACACGTGATTTCCGTTAACACGCGGTTTCCGTCACTCATTTGACAAGTTCGACCACTTGACCCAGTGACGTTTCGTTTTCGGACAACTGTCGTGTACGGTGTACCGATTACGCGGTAGAGTATATGTAACCGTAGTTTATTGTTAATAACACCGTTATCACGTCCTGACGCTGTAGTGCCGTAATAAGACGTGATTACTGATTATATATAATATTAAATATATTATATAATACGCACACGTTCAAAATTGTTTTTCTATTTTTACCTTACTCGTATGTACTACGTTGAGAAAAACAATGATGAGCAACGAACAAGAAAACAGTCGCGTTCCGGGTGCTCCGTCGTATAATGCGCTGTTTAATGAAGTTGCCGAGCTCCGTGCTCAGCTACGACTAACCGTTCGTTCACTCCTGACACCGTTAACACTCAACCAGTCTCTGATTTTAGAATAATGCCAGATCTGAATCAATCCGTCAAAAAGTTTACCGGGCGCGAAAATGTTGTAGAAGCGACTGACTGGTTAGATACCGTCGAAGGCCTTGCTAATCTGAACAATTGGCCTTGGAATTTTCGTCTTCAATTCATAAGAGCGAATATGACTGGTGCCGCGCGGTCTTGGATGGGAGGTGAGGAATTTACAGATTGGACTGATTTTAACCAAAAATTCCGCCGAATATTTGTACGTCAAACGTCAGTTTCCGACCGTTGGGACTTGATGAAGACACGCGTCCAAAACAGAGATGAACCGATTTTGGAATTCTATTTAGATAAGGTAAGATTATGCAAAGACTTATCGCTACCTTTTACGGAAATAAGAGACCACGTACTGCAGTCACTTTACTCCAGAGATCTAGCTTTATATGCTCTAGGCAGAACACATATAGACTCAATAGAACTACTAGCAGATCTACAAGACTGGCAACGGTTGACTGACCTCCGAAACGCTCGATTTGCAGTTGGTAATTCACAGTCAGCTGGCCGTTTTAAAACAAAAATAGACCGTGTCCAGACCAATGAAGAGAAGAAGGCAAGTGATCCAAAGGTGGACAGCGCCACAACTATATTACAACCCAAGACAAGCTCAGAACAACCAGGGCGACCGTCTGGTAATCCTGTGCGTACAGGGATCAAGTGCTACAATTGTAACGGGTTAAGACACATGAGCCTGGACTGTTTGAAACCAAGGCGCCCAATGAAGTGTAGCAATTGTCATGCAGATGACCACACACGAGGAAAGTGTCCCCAATCCGAGGCACCACCAGTACAAGGATACCTGGTATCTAAACAAAGGGAAGTATTACCACATAACACTTATGTTAAGCTGGCATACATTAATGATAAACAATTTCAGACAATGATTGACACAGGATGTTCGGTGACTCTGATCCGTTCCAGCGCTGCTGTCATGAGTGGAGCCAAATTGGAATCAAACGTGAAACCACTGTTTGTCGTGGGTGATATGGAGATACCTAGCATGGAAACCCTTGGAAGCATGGTAGCTGATATCACAATAGGACAAGTCACCACTACTGATAATCAAATTTGTATTGTACCAGACAAGGCTATACCAACCGACTTGCTAATTGGGAGGAACTGGTTAGACTTACCGGCCGTAAACTACTATAAGTTCAATAATGAATTGATTATAGCCCCTATGACAATGGACTTGGGACAGATTAGTGAGCTACCTCGTTGTGAGTATGATACCTGTGCTGATGATGTTAATGCCTGCTTAGTCTCGGATTGGCGTGCAGACCAGATCTTGAAAGAAGACCGCCAAGAGTGTACCCAGTCAGTCTACAGAAGTGCAAGTCCTTACGAACCTATAACAATATCTGAAGTGAAGGTTGGTGAAGAGCTCAACGAATATGAACGACAACAGATTATCCAGACAATCAACGAATACCGTGATGTCTTTGCAAAGAACTTGGGCGAACTAGGATGTACCGATGTGTTGCAAATGGACATACCAGAATGTCCAGGTAGTGTGCCTGTTCAGTCTAAACCGTACCGTACGACCATAGCAGAAAGAAAGATCATTGCTGATACCTTGCAAAAGTGGCGCGATAATAAAATTATTAGCAATTTGAGTTCTTCTTATGCAAGCCTAGTGTTACTAGTAAATAAGTTGAACGGTGGAAAAAGGCTGTGTATTGATTATAGGAAACTGAATAGACAGACAATTTGTCGCCCATACCCAATGCCGGATATTGACCGCCAACTCAGTGTGCTATCTGAAGGTAATATATTCACCGCCTTAGATCTTTCTAATGGATTTCTGCAAATCCCACTTTCGGAAGAGGCTAAGGATAAGACCGCCTTTGTGACCGAAGATGAAACGGCAAGATTTGAACGTATGCCTTTTGGATTATGTGGAGCTCCAGGGGAATTCCAAAAACTTATGAACTTGGTCTTCAGAGAACTAATGAACAAAAATATAGTGGGCCTTTATCTTGACGATATAATACTACCAGCATTAGATTGCAAGGATTTGTTAATTAAACTATGCATGGTGTTCGAAGTTCTACGAAAGGCAAAACTCACATTAAAACCCTCTAAGTGTATCTTTGGGGCGCAAGAATTAGATTATTTGGGATTCAGGATTTCTAAGGGCAAGGTCCAACCCGGGCGAAAGGTGTCTGCCATCACAGAATACCCAACACCTAAAAACGTACAYGAAGTTAGACAATTTTTAGGGTTGGCTGGTTTCTTTAGACGATTCATTCAAAACTATGCTGTGTTGACAAGACCAATTACCTCATTGACTCGAAAGGAAGTTAAGTTCGAATGGAATATAGAACAACAACAAGCATTTGAGTTACTTAAACAGAAGTTGAGTGAAGGTCCAGTCCTACGTATGTACTCGCCGACTGCTAAGATTACCGTGATCCATACTGATGCCAGCGCACAAGGTTTGGCAGGAATGATGTTACAGGGGAGTCAACATCGAACTTGCATATGGTGTATTGTGTCAGCAAGACAACGACGGACACCGAACAGAACTACCACTCGAGTAAACTAGAACTGTATGCTATTATCTGGACCTTGGGAAGGTTGAGACATCTTCTTCTAGGAATAAAGTTTACTATTTTGACAGACTGTCAAGCCTTGGTATATCTTAACATTCACAAGAATACTAAACCGCAAGTAGCTAGGTGGTTTGATACACTACATGAGTTTGACTTCGAAATCAAGTATAGACCTGGAAGTCAAATGGCACATGTTGATGCTCTGTCCAGAACCACGGAAGGGGCTGGAGCGACTAGTGAACCAATGGACACGATTTTTGAAGGCAGATACGAGGTATGTCTCACAGTCAATCAGATTGATAGAATCGRGTTCATGCAACAGGGTGATGCAACTGTTACTAAACTGGGAAAATTACTAAATGAGTCAACACCATAAAAAAAAACACAGGACCGCATTCGTGATTAAGAGTTGATAGATGGCTTACCGGATTGGTCTACCGGAAATGTGGCCCGAAGAGATTGTTTGTGGTACCGAGATCAATGCGAAAGGCTATAGTGATAGCTGCCCATGATCTAAGCGGACATTTCAGTGTCGATCGAACAATTGCGAAGATCCTGAACGAATATTGGTTTCCAATGATGCGGAGATATGTCAAGCAACATATCTATATGTGTATAGATTGTCTTATTCATAAGAGACCAGGTGGTCGCCGACCATGACTGTTACATCCTATCCCGCCAGGCCATTGTCCTTTTGCTGTGATACACATTGACCACCTGGGACCATTTGAAACAAGTACAAAAGGTAACCGATACCTACTAGTTATTGTCGACAACCTCACAAAATATGTTTCTTTATATGCTTCAAAAACAACTGATACCGCTGGTGTGATTAAGCGTCTTGAAGAGTTTATCAAGCAGAGAGGACTGCCAGCCGAATTGTTAGCGATAGGGGTACTGCTTTTACCCCAGTAAAGTTTGAGAAATTCTGTCAGGAACAAGGTATACATCACACATTGAACTCTACTCGTCACCCACAAGCAAATGGTCAGGTGGAGCGAGTGAACCGTACCCTGATCCCCATACTTAGTATCACCTGCGTAGAGCAATGTCGTTGGGATCAGAAATTAACTGAAATCGAACTGAATCTAAATACTGCATACAACAAAGCGACTAAGAAAACTCCATACGAGACTGTTTACGGGTATTACCCAAATTTTCGCGGTGGCGCTGAGAGACAATTGAATCTTAACCGTAATCTGTGGACGCCATCACACAAGGTTCAAGCTGAAGCAAGACATTGAAAAACAGCAGATTAAAACCAAGGAGGCCTATGACAAAACAAAATTCTCTGGGACTCRCTTCACCAAGGGCGAAGTGGTGGTAATGCTTAAGGCACCGAATCAAAACGAAAGTGCAAAGTTACAGGCAAAATATCGCTCAAGACCATTACAGGTAGTTGAAGTCTTACCTAGCGACACTTACAGGGTGGCAGAAATATCATTAGATGGTCAAACGACCTACATCACCACAGCACACGTCAGTCAGTTGAAATCTTGGAGAGTACTAAACGTTGACGAATCCGAAGAGGAGGACACAGTTGAAGAAGTAGAACCAGAGGAGGACACAGTTGACGAAGTAGAACCGGTGGAGGACCAAGGAATAGTATCAGACCTGTTACCGAGCCGCTCAACCCGCCATGGAGGTCGGTCAGGGAGAAGAGGAGGCCCACCTACCTAAGCCAATTCGAGTGATTTGGCCGAGGACGGCCACAATGTAGGATGGCCGAATGTTGGCAGCACTGCTCCAGGCCGATCCAGACTGCCGACAGCCGGCTCCTAGCTATATTATTTTTTCTAGTCTAGTTCGTTGTTGTTGAGCGTTCCCGACTGAAGGGTCTACGCTCGGCTCTTTTCTGTTTTATTTTACCCTTGTGGATCGTTGTGTATATAATAAACGTTAATTCTTTTGATTCGTGTGTTTTATTGCTAACAATCTGTATATTTTTTCGATACTAGATCGAGCCATCGAGCCGTATACCAGTGGCCTTTCTGGATCATATATATGATATACGACCCATGTTGCGGAACAAGGTTGGCGAAACCTGTGTACGTGTACAAGGTTTGAACGGTGAATATTTACCGTTATTAGTGCAGGAATATTTTGACGCACCCAAACCCAAACGTTTGACGACACCAAATTCGATGGTGTTGTTTTAACGCAAGACACGTTGTTTATCAAATGGAAATAACCGACGGTGGACGCGCGGTACGTGGGCGACGCGTGACGACGTGTTTCAAGTCGGTGATGGTTCTCAAATAATCACCTTCAGACTGGAAGATAAAGAAGATGCGGTGT